AAATAAATAAATCAGATTTGAAATTGAATATATACAGCTGGCATGGGTGTTTTATGTTGGGCCTGCAGGTTAATGCATGTGTTGCTGGTGGTGTGGCGGGAGCAGTCGTCTCACTTCGGGGAAGGAGGCCCTTGCAAGTTTTGGCGAATGTTGGGACCGGGGCTATTGCATCTGCCGTAGGCTTCAAATTGCTGCAGCCACGCTAAGTTTGGCTGGGTTGCTTTGTATAATATTTTCTTTAACTTTCTTTCTATCCTCATAAAGTTATGTGAGCTTCCTGTTTACTCTCTTTCATCTTAATATTGCACTTTTTTTTCAAGTTTTTTCAAGTTTGTTTATTAAGTTTTTTTAATAAGTTTTTTCAAGTTATCTTTCCATCACACATGCGCAGAGACACCTGATAGATGTGGGATGGCAAGATACTTGCAAAAACTTTGCCATCCTGCCATCGCACATGCGCATAGCCCTTGCTATCTTGCCATCGCACATGCGCATAGCGCACTCATCTGTGTAGATAACATCTCCTACTAGTAGCGAGTTTCTCCAAGGCCAAAGCCCATACAGCTGGTGACCAGTGAGGCCCATGAGCGAGCCTGTCCCGTGGAACCACCGGTGCATCACTTGTCCCATCACTTGACCCATCACTTGTCTTGCACAGCCCTAAGCTCTTTATCCCACTATTGGTGCTATAGACTCCTGTCATAGCCTGAAACGGCCCATAAGCTTAAACTATACCAGGCCAAATAGTCCATAAGCCTAACTGCCCCGTAAGCCTAGTGTACAGCCCCTGTCATAGCCTGAAGTAGGCCAGAAGCCTATGGTTATAAGGGGTTCAGGGTGTATAGCGCCTGTCATAGCCTGAAGTAGGCCATAAGCCCATGGCTGTAAGCCTGTAAGGGGTTAAAAGTGTGCAGCCCCTGTCATAGCCTGCTGAAGTAGGCCACAAGCCTATGGGTGGGTGCAAGGGGGGTTCAAACCACCACTTCTGCAGACGAAAGCCGTAGAGTGTGGCGGTATAAACGCTGGCTGTGGGGAAGGGTTGGCCTACGAGCGCAGGGTTGGGGGGTGCGGTGGCAGCACGCAAAATTTGGCATGCGCTGGCATTGCCAATATTCTGTGCTCGTAGCACTCGACGAATAATTCTGGAAGAGATCGTAGGCTCGTAGCCCTTGACCAACAATTCTGGAAAAGGTCGTAGGCTTGTAGCACTTGACGAACAATTTGGGAAAAGGTGGGGGCCGTAGATCGAGTGATGATCTGTTCAGCAGAAATATAAGAAACAAAGGATTTCTGCTGGCAAAAGAACTTGAGGCGTGGAAGAGTCGATAGGTTCGTTATGGGGGCTGTCGTGGTTCACGCCGTAGTTTAAGGACTCTGTTGATTACGCAACCATCTGGCTTTTCTTCAGAGGGTTATTCATAGGTCTTGCCAAGATGACAGGTCATTGTTCTTCAAATACATGTGCCGTGTTTTGTTTACTGCGCAGAGAGATGGGCGTGAAATTGTTTTCGTTTTTTCTTTTCCTTTCTTTTCTTCTTCTTTTTTGCCCCTATTTTTGTGAATTCTTCCGAGTCTTTTCTTTCTTTCGCCTTTGTTTTTCAGAGTTGGACGATTTCTCGATTTATGCGTCTCATCCTTGAAAGCGCAGGGGCCATGCTAATCTTCTTTCTCTCTGTATCGTTCCAATCCTTTTAACGGATGTCCCGAAGGACAACGTTGGACCATTTCTCAATTTCCGTACGTGCGCTAATCTTCTTTGTATCATTCCCGACTTCTTTTACCTGGAGTCTTTCTGAAAGAAAAAAAAAAATCCCGAGTTTTTCTTACCTTTCTTTTAAATAATAATAATAATAATAATAATAATAATAATAATAATAATTGGAGAAGTTGGGGAGAGCTTACAAAGCCGGGAATAATAATAATAATAATAATAATTGGAGAAGTTGGGGAGAACTTCCAACGCCGGGAAGCCAGCCCGGCATTCCTCACAAAAGAGAGCGGTGAAAGTTCCGTGAAACCTCTGAACAAGGCATCGTCGGCCGAGTTCAGAGGGGCCACCCAGTGTGTTTTGTAACCAGCTATCTGTTCTCGCTGAGTGTTTTGATTATTTTTCCTGAGTTTTTTTCTTTTTAACTTTCTGAAAGTCTGTTTTTTTACAAGTTCTTTTCTGTCTTCGTCTTTCTTTGCAGTTTTGTCTTTTGTTTTACCGGGAGTTTTTCCGAAAAAAAAATTCCGAGTTTTTCTAACTTTCTCTCCGACTCTTTTGATTTTTTCCCCACGTTTCTTCTTAACTTTTTGAAAGTTTTTTCTTTTGTTTTTTTTTTCTGTCTTTGGCATTCTTTGTACTTTTGTCTTTTTTGGGAAAAAAAAAAAAAAAAAAAAAATTGAAGAGATTATGGATTTTGTGGTTGAGAGAATTTGAGACATTGGGGAAACTGCTGATGTGCTCCGAGCGGTGGCAATTAGACATGAATCTTTTTCTTTTTTTTTCTTTTTCGTTTTCTTTTTTTTTCTTTTTTTTTCTTTTTTTCTTTTTTTTTCTTTTTTTTTCTTTTTTTTTTCTTTTTCTCGTGGGGGGCAACACGGCTGGGAACTGGGCTCAGCATCCCTTATGAAAATACAGAATCATGAACTACTAGGGACATCATCATACTTCAATCTTACATTGACAATTACAAGAAGTTGTTGGCCAGACAATCTCGATCTACTTCTTTCTCTTCTCTTTCTCAGAAGTTGAACAGCTGGCGTTGTGTTTGTCCATCGTCACAGATTGTCAGTCCAATGCATTTTTTTGCCCTCCCCGTCGTGTGGCCGAGCCACATTCACTTCGGTCTACGCATACCTCCTTGCACCATCTTCAACAGCATTCTGCCATTATGCCGATGGAAAACAGATCGCATAATTGGGCAAGCTGCTGCAAGAAATGGTATCTGTTTCTTCATCTCTCGAGTCTCTACCCGTTTGGACAGTCCCACGTATAGCCACCCTCGTTAATCTGTTGCTGCTGCTGTCCTGGGAAGGCAAGCAATATGGAATCACCATTGGGGTTACACCCATACTGATACCCTTTTCCTTACCTTTACTATGTCCTCGAAGCTCACAAATCTCCTCCAGCTCTTCGCAGCGTTCTCGAAGTCGCACCACAAAAGAATATTGCTGTTCCCCCGCATGCACGCCCTCGTCCAACAGTCTGTGCCATTCAGGAGCAGCCTCCTCACAAACCGTTGGCTAGTACAACGACTACGTCGTGGTATCTCAGCGCTGCTTTGTGAAACGTGAGCTCGATTCTCCACTCTTTGTGAGCAAGACAATAAGCTCTATTAAACCGCCAGTACCTTTCGCATATATGGGCCTCGGGCGCCCAGCACGGCCGATGGATGTGGTCGCCGCCGGAGGCCAAATCGGGCCTCCGTGTTAACCGCCGCGCCCCCGATCCCCAGTGGGAAAAGGTACTGATGGTTTAACAGGTTGGGTGTTCGATGGTGCTCGATTGTCTAGAGTGCTGATGAAGTGGCGCTTCATCTCAAAAACAATGCATCCTCTCTTTGTGGCCTCTCCCCTCGCACTGTTGGTTTTACGCACTAGCCTTTCTCATGGCTGCATTTTGAATAATGTAGCAAATGTTGTTGACGAAGTCCATATGCTTATGCCCTTCGGCAGATTTCCGAGCGTTCACTCCGCAATGCCCTGAACATGGCAGTTTGAGGACCTCATTGTGGCCGATTGACACCTAATTCGGACCCGGACACTCTTTTCTGTCCCTCAGATTCTCCAACATCTTCACTCTTTTCTGTCCCTCAGATTCTCCAACATCTTCGCTTTTTCGTACAAAACACACTTACCTGTACCCTGCAGGCAGCACACTTCGGAAACCGATTGTCTGTGTTGCAATGTGAACTCATGTTGTTGGCCTAGAGATTTCTAATCGAACGCTATTTTGGGAGGAAACGGTTTATTGATGACGTTTGTCAGCATGAACTTCAAGCTGTTTGGCAATACGCTTTCACTTATTGCCTCACTGATGATGTTCGTTCATGGGGGCAATTACCTCCTCCCACAAGGAGTACAGCCTCCTTGTGGGAGCACATGTAGCAAGCTTTAGTGGCGCCGGTGTGAGAGTGCATCAACAACTCTATTATAGCATCCTTTCTTGTGTTTTATTTTAGCTCAAAGTCATATGTGTCTATGAGCTAAATCCAATGAAAAAGTGACGTGGAAAGTATTGGATGGGTTTTCATCCATTGCACGGTCTGATGATCAAAGGGAACCTTAAAATGTGTGCCCATTGCCCAACAGGTACTGCTTTCCAATGCCTTTGAGCCTCAAAAAGCACATAGAGTTTATGCTAGTAAGTGGAAGATGGCAATCATTCAAAAAGGCTTCTTCTTGCTTAAACCACCAGTACTCAGCCCAACTATTGGCTGTGGAAAAAAAATAGAGTAGAAGCGTTTCTATTTCTAGTCGGATGCATTTGGTCACTCCTGTAGTGCCTCGTACATTTCCTAAAATCGAGGCTTGTTAACGGACACGACTTCAGGATGAATTTGGTCACTCCTGTAGTGCCTCGTACATTTCCTAAAATCGAGGCTTGTTAACGGACACGACTTCAGGAAGTACTGGTGGTTTAAAACCACCAGTACACATCCGAAAAAGCAGATCGAGCCTCTCCTGAGAATTCGGAGGCAATGGACCGTCGATAAAATGAATCGGCAGTTCATTGCCTCCTTTTTTTCAGGAGAGGCTCAATCTCCTTTTCGGATGTGCTGGTAGTTCAAACCGCCACTCCATCCGGCGAATCCATCCGGCGAACCAAAAGTTGCAATTTCCCGAGTCTTAAACAAACCCCCACCGACCTTCGAAAAAATAAATCTGGTGGTACAAGTTGCAATTTTGAATTTCCCGAGTCTAAAAGAAACCCGCACTGGCCTTTGAAAAAGTAAATGTGGTACCGATACCGGCAAGTGCTTGATCACAATCAGCAGGTATACACAAAACACCGAGTAAATCATTTTTTCTTACTCCTTTTTTTTTTCTCTCTGCATTTTTTAGCATGGGCGCCACCATTTCAAAACAGCACGCCTGTGTGTTTTGGTGTGCCGCTGATGCAGCTCATGTTTACCATGGGATCGAGTGCGTAGACTTTCCTGCTTGACATGGCAACAGTGTATGCAATCCTCCTCGTGCATCAGGACAGAGAAAGCACGTGAGCAGCAAAATCAACGAAAAAGAATTTACCCATCCCTTGGACACATGCTCTTACACACGCACACAAACACACACACACACACGGTGCTACTTGTGCATCAGGATAAAGAAACCACGCGAGCAGCGAGATCGGTGAAAAGAATTTACCAATCCCTTCTGCCCAGGCTCTTGGACACACACGTGCACAAAACACACACACACGGCGCTGCTTGTACATCAGGAAAGAGAAAGCACGTGAGCGGCTACCTTGACGAATGCATTTACCGATCCCTTCTGCCCATGTTCTTACACACCCACATGCACACACGCACACAAGTTGATGAAAGACCAATGAAACAGTCTTGTGCAGTCATGCCTCCTTAGTGGAGCTGTGTATATCACACATACCAACCGAAAACAAAACAAACCAAAAAAAAAACAAAAAAAAGCACGAGTGCGCAAAACACCACACGTGCAATCATATGCATGCATCCACCCATGTGGTCTGACGAAGAGAAGACTAACAACGACGACTACAGCTGCTCACATCCCCCAAGACTAACAACGGCTGCTCACATCCCCCATGCCTACTCCTCTCTCTCCCCCCCCGCCATTACTGCTATCTGGCAATGAATCCGGCCTCTTCAAACGAGGGGCTGTGACAAACTGTTTCGTCGGAGTTTCACTGGCTCGTCAGGAAGCTGAATTGTCCTCTTCTCCCAGCCTCTCTGCCTACGGTTTACCGTAGGCAGCTCTGTTTGACTATATATATAAATAGTCAAACAGAGCTGCCCAGTACACCGTACGCAAAGAGGGAGGGAGAAGAGGACAACAAAGCCGCCCGGTACACCGAAGGAAGAGGGAGGGAGGGAGAAGAGGACAACAAGCGAAGGGCTGTGACAGACGAGACTCTTTCGTAGGAGTTTCACCTTCACTTTTGTTTTGCGTTCTATTTTTATCTTGAAATAAGTAAGGGATTTCAAGAAGACCCTCAGCGAAAAGTCGTTTGAATTACCAATGGGCTTGGGTCAGTCTGCTGGCTGTGTGCTGATTCCATGGGAAGCATATGTGCACCAGCGACTAGATACAAGGCACCTATACCTTCTTTCCTTTTCTTCCACCTACACCCTTGTGAAAAACACACAGCCATCTCTGTGCATAATAATTTCCAAAACAATTTGCCGTCTCCGTTGTTCCCTGAAAAGTAATTTAGTCCCGAAAACACCATAGACGACGGAAAAGGCAGAATACCCGCCCAGGCGAAACTCTGTGGGCATATCCATTTGCCAAATTCCCGGCCCAAAAGAGACAAAATCTGCTCTGTCAAGTCACCTTTCCCAGAAACAATAACCCTCGGGCTATTACAACGAAAAAGCAAAAATAAAATGCAACATGCAGCATCTGTTGGTCGTTTAGCATCATCCTAATGGCAGCAGCTCCGTCGCACTGTCCTGCAAAGCGTGGGCACAGAAGTCACGACCAAAGAGTCAACAGGAATAGGCAGGCAAGGCATCAATCAATCAATCAATCAATCAATCAATCAATCACTCTTTTCTGCCATCTGTGATTAATCAATTACCTTGCACAAAACACTGGTCTGCAACCAACCAGCCAGTTGATCAACAATCGTGACTACCTGCTATACAATCAATCAATCGATCAATCGATCAATCAATCAATCAATCAGTCAGTCAATCAATCAATCAATCAATCAATCAATCAATCGATCGATCGATCAATCAATCAATCAATCAGTCAGTCAATCAATCAATCAATCAATCAATCACGTTGCAGCAAACAAGCTCCCCCAGGCACAAGCACCTGCAGAATTGAATTCGGATTCCTGGGGACACACATGAAAGGGTACGATCTGCCGAGTTCCCACACATAATCTACCATCCCTAATATTTTTTCCAAAGGAGTATGAATGACTATCAATCACTTGCTATCACATACTCACTGCTATACAATCCATCAACCAACCCATCAACCAATCCATCGATCGACCACTCAACCGATCAATCTACCAATCAATCCACCAATCAATCCACCAATCAATCACCTTGCAGTAAAGGAGCTTCCACAGCCACAAGTGGCTGCAGAATTTGGATTGTTGGCCACATGAAAGGATGATCGCACAAGTTCTTGCACATAATCTATCGTTGCGCCTTTCACAAAGGAGTGGGAAACGCTATCAACCACTACTTTCACTCCGTCCTTCTCGAACACTCTATCGTCTGGCTGTAATTCTCTTTCAAGCGAGAACGAATACTGAAACCCTGAGCAACCCCCTCCATCTACGCTGAGCCGCAGCATGACCTCCCCTGCAGCGCCCGCTTCCTCTCTCTCCTCCTCCTGAATCTCCCGCATACGCCGGATGCAGTTCTCCGAGATGACGAGATCCTCCGATCGCCCCGACGCTTCTGCACTCGTCGATCCTGACGAGGTATTCGCCGTCTCGGCTCCCGCTAGAGCTGAAACAGAGTTGTGATGAACACTGGCAAAGGATAACTGACGATGGCGAGGAAGCGTCGTCATCAACCACGAAGGCGCAGCGCGAGCCAAGCGCCGGGAGGGAGCGGGAGTGACACAACCAGGGGATCGAAGATGAAGCACACGCCTGGCAGCACATGCACAAGCATCTGCAAGCTCCCTGACCACCGTAGCCATCGCTGAAGCTGCTAATCGCGCCATACTAAAGAAGACGAGATAAGAGTTACGTCCCCTCAGACCCCCTCCCTCCCCTTCACGCCCTGCACCCCCACAGGTATCCCGTCTTAATTGGCATCTTGCTTGCGAAGTAGGGACGTCATCGTACTGGTACCTTAGTGAGCTAACCAACGACAGACGAGCTCACCGAGTCGCGTCGTGTCAAAGCACCACAGCATTTCCCCTACCGTCATCGTCTCGTCCCTCTCAACCCTATCCCAAATAAGCGCAGGCTATGGAGTTTCCCCCTTTCCACACCAAACTAGACATCAACATTTCACTCTCGTCTCCTTCATCTTCGTTGCTCCGACCGACCAACCGCAGACTAGTCTAACCGAATCGCGTCATGTCAAGCCATAGCCTTTCCCCTACGGAGTGTCTCACTCCTGGAAACCCCGCAAGTATAGCCTGGCTATGGAGTTCACTTCCACGGCTCCAGCAAACTAGACATCAACTTCTCATCCTCATCCTCCTTTTGCTCATCTTCCTCGCTCCGACTGACCGGAAGGCCCTGCAGGCATTGCAGGATGTTAATGAAGGCATATGTATGTAAGAAAGGGAGACCAAGCCCACCAATTCCACTCCCTCACACCTCCGTGGCCGTCTAGCTACCTTCCTCTGTCCAGCTGCCAGCCTGCAAAACGCAAAAGACAGTACAAAGCAGCAACAACGACTTGAGGTTGAGGACGACGAACGAAGTGGCAACAACGATAAAGTCGGATAAACCCATCGAGGTTGAAAAGGAAGACGGTGAAAGGGAACGCGGTGGGAATGGAGGAGGAGGAGGAGGAGAAGGTGAGGGAGTGCGTGCCTTCAACAAAGTTTTTTTTTTTTTTTTTTTCAACAAACATATTGACAACCGCAGGCAGATGACTCGAAAAGACCAACACTCGCACATCCGCACACCATGTGCCATTTCAAACGAGGTCCTTTCTGAGCCACAGATTTAACACATGCCTCAGCGAAAGAGGACCCCTTTTTTTTTTCTTTTTTTTTTTCCGCCCGGGGGAGGCCTACTCTTGGAGGTGACAAGAGCATTCTCCCTGAGTAGCGCCCTAAGACTGGTGGCTCCGGTCTATTGCTGGGAAGAGAAAAGGAAGGGGAGAATGAAACACTGAAGAGTGGAAGTGATGTTCTTCGTAGAGAAACACTTGTGTTGCATATGAAAGGCTTATTATCCATCGTACAGTATATTACTCTTCCCCTGATCTGTGCATGCCTCAGTGAAAGAATATAGGATGCATACATCACGGGAATGGGCGAAATCTTCCCCCTTCGTGGTTTTGACCAAAACGTGGCCGCAAGGAAGACAGACTTGAGCAATAAGGCAATCACACCCTATAACTGCACCACAGCCACACCTTCCCCATCAGCCTCTTATCCTCT